ATTGGGTGGTTTTGACTCGTTTACTCGAGGTGCAGGTCGCATTTCAATACTTTTCCATAGGCTTGCAATGTAAAGGTCACGACTCTGACCTAACCTCAGGTCACAGATAAAAAATTCTGAGAAATACAAACGACACATACCGCAGGTACTGTTTTGAAGACTTGATGAGAGGAAATAACTTCGTGAAAAACTCAAGCTCTGACGTGTTTGCAAACTTTTCTGAGGTGGGGTCAACAAACCCGCTCTGGTTACCTGACCCGGCATTTTTTTTTTTTTGCTGAGATGTGCGCAATGAGCATTTAGGAAAAGTCACCAAATATGAGCTGAATGTCTCGCGGCGTTTGGCAATTGTACAAGAAAATCCTGAAAGGTCTCCCCGTCCGAAAAAGGGTTAATGTGTATATGAAGAGTTGCAGATGCCAAACATACCCAGATCTAAGACTGCAGTTCCCAGCGCCGCTGCAACGTTTTTAACCCGCGCACCGACGGGGGTCTGCGCCAACTTCGCACCGACGGGGGGGGCGGATGACCGCCCCCCCCCCCTGAGATCTCGAGAACGAAGCAAGATAGCGACAAGCGGTAAACGGCATCGGATACGCACGGCCAAGATCTACAATTTTTACAAAGGTCATTTTCAGGTCAGGTCAAAGATGACGTCACAGGGGTCGAAAAAGTCAAAATGGCGGCGCTAGATATGGAGAGAGTTTTTCTCGAATAACTTTCGAATTAGTCAAGATAGGAACAAACTAAGGGCATCATCGTGATCCTCTCGTCAATCCGCATCGAATGATATATATGTTGACCTCGAAAGGTCAAGGTCAAAGGTTGACCTCAGGTCACGTGACCTCGAGGTCATCATGTATATCATTCGATGCGTCTTGACGAGCTAAACACAATGAGACCATCCACGCGTCTGTATCTTGTTCCTGTACGGAGTTATTGGCCAAAAACCTTTGGTGACCTTTGATGACGTCACATGACCTCACAGCTGCCCAACAGCAAAACAGACCTCAAGGTAGTGAAGGTTGATCGTATATGAAGTCATGAATGGTATATGGGGCCATTCCGACCCGTTTTAGTGGTAAAAACAGGGAGTTGATTTTTCCCCCATTGACTTATAATGGGAGGTCGCGAAATTGACCTGACCTTAGGTCACCGATATCAAAATTCCGAGATATACAAATTGTAGCTACCAATGACCTAATAATATCCTGCAACTTTCAAAGGCCTCCGACATCTACTGTAGCTCTGGCACGGTGACAAAGTTGCAAAAAAGTGACTTGAGGTTGGGTCATTCAAAGTGACCTGGTGACCTGACCTTAAAAGGTAGGAGGTTCAAACTTGCACACCATGTGTAAAATTGATGAGGTTATAGTAATACCAAATTTCGCGGCGCTACGCGCCGCGGTTTTCCCGCTATTCGCGAAAAACCTCAGGGGGGGGCGGATATCCGCCCCCCCCGTCGGTGCGCGGGTTAAAACAAGCATACATAGGACATACAAACATGTTTATTTGCATCTGTTTTGGATAATAGCAACTCATGGCGCCATCACCCGCGATAACTGTTAGGATTTGAGATATATTTTTATTTAGGCCATTAGTTTGGCTGTAATGTTTATTAATATTAGTTGGGCGGAGTTTGTTAGTTTTTTATTTAACTTGTGGTATGTTGTGCTGATTGCGGGTTGTTCAAACCTTTCAAATGTAAGGACCTTATTGAACTCTACACTACCCTACATACGACTGGACGCTTTCCAAGCCCACAAGCATCACGACGCCGAGATGGAATGTAGCCGAGAAATCACCCTCGCCATCTGTTCTAGAGCTAATCGTGTGGGGCGGCGTGTGGGGCGCCGCTTAGCCTATGGGGGTGCACTTCTAGTGGATGGGGGACGGGGGTGTACCTGCACCCCTTTCATATGGAAAGTTACTTCCCTGATTACAGCTCCCCGTATTACACCTAATCAGGGAACGGCCAGCAAACGAAGGAACTATTTCTGGATGACAGGCGAATAACCGCTCGCGCAAGGAGCGGAGCTCCGCCCCGTCCAAAGTGGCCAACAAAGCAGAGACAGAGGCAGCATCACATCTTCCATCAAAGAACTGGTTTCTGGCTTGGAAGATGAGCTCCATCTTTGCATCCGGTGCTGTCAGGAATCAGCTGGTCTAATGGAGTGAGAGTAGTGAGACGACTAGCTATTGTATCAGAGCTGCCTGGTCTTCGTAGCATTTGCACCGATTCTTCTCGATCGGACTCTGAATTCTGTCCCTCCCGCGTATTACTTGAGGCATTGCTATGTAGCTAAGTCTTTGGCAGAGTTTCATTATCCATGCTTTGCAAACAGTGCCATAACAACACAGTTAATTAATCACCAAGCTTCTTTGCAAGTTCCAATACAGTTGAATCGCACGCGATTTGAGTGCAAAAATCAAGAAAAGTGCCAACTTGTTCCCGTAAAATATTTTGAATATTGACCTAAAAAAATGAGTAATTTCCAGATAAAATAACAGCGAAATCAGTTTTCGCTTGCCAATAAAACTCACAGATATTGAAGCTCCATTATTAAAGGAACATTTTAGTATATGCCATTCTTGATAAAACTTCTTAGCCACGCAATACCAGCGCAAAATAAAGAGACACTGAAAACACGACCAATCTTTCCGATTTGGGACCGTGTATATCACACCACGGTGAGATTTACACAATACCGGCCATTTGTGTAAATCACACCCACCCCGGTGTGATATACACAAAATCTACTACGTAGTGTAAATCACACCCGGGTGAGGAATACACAGAGAGGGCAGCTGTGTGTATATCTCACCACGATGTGACGTCATAGCAACGCTGAACGTCCATTGGTCAGAGCAGTGACTCTGCTCGCCCATTGGTCAGATCAGACTAAGCACTACGAATATTCCGGCGGGATTCCGGGCGTCCTCTCTCTCGGAATCAGCTGACCGCCTGGCCTAGCGGTGAAGGTGCTTGCACCATGATACGAATGTTGCGGGTTCGAGTCCCGTCGGTGCGGGCGCTTTTTCCCGCATTTTCGCTTTTCCTTGGTAGCGGTGGGTTCGCTGCCGACCGACAAGTTTAAAAGCACCAATACAATATGGAAAGCGACGTCTGAATGCTCGTGGCGAAGCGGTGCAGTGCCGAAGGCAATGCCTTAGGAGAGATTACAGGCAATGGTAAGTCAAATATTTTTAGGTTAAGTGGTTGTGTATCTGGCTTCAGGCCGAAGGCCTGAAGCCTGATGCACAACCACTTAACCTAAAAATATTTGACTTACCATTGCTTGCAATCTCTTCATGCGAGTACCTTCTTCCTCATCCACGGGTAGGCAAAAATCAGTAGGTCAGGTTAGGTTAGGTTAGGTTAGGTTAGGTTAGGTTAGGTTAGGTCAGGTCAGGTCTAAGGTTTGGTTAAGTGTCTTGTTACCGTGCTACTGTGTAAATCTCACCCAGGTGCTGCGTGGTTTGACACCCAGGTGTGATTTACCCACTACCGAGCACACAGTGTATATCACACCCTGGTGAGATTTACACATTGGCTAGGCCTACTGTGTAAATCACACCCAGGTGCTGCGTGGTTTGACACCCAGGTGTGATTTACACACTAGGAGCACATTGTGTATATCACACCACGGTGTGATTTACGCATTTGCCGGGCCTACTGTGTAAATCACACCCAGGTGCTGCGTGGTCTGACACCCGGGTGTGATTTACACACTAGGAGCACATTGTGTATATCACACCCCGGTGTGATTTACGCATTGCCGGCCCACTGTGTAAATCACACTCCGCGTGGTGTGATATACACAGGAGTAGTGTATTGTGTAAATCACACCCGGGTGAGGTTTACACTACAGTGCGATGCATTATGTAAATCTCACCGTGGTGTGATATACACGCGTCCTTCCGATTTACCATAGGAAAATACATAGAAAATGTATGTCTCAACTGCGCCAAATATACAGACAGTTATATACCTACATGTGACGTCATGATTAGCCCGACCAATCAGAAGCAAGTTGTTTTCAGCCACAAATAATTGATTTCTGAACTAACTAGGCATTTTTATAACAAAGTGATTTTAAATTAAATCATTAAAAATTCTGAGCTTTTTTATTTTACCAAAACATACAGAGCATGCAGATAGGTCCCAACCCTAATAGGGTTCTATGGCAGTTCTATGGCAGAATTTATAGTCCAAAGTTTAACCCTCGCCCTGGCAGGGCATTTTTCATAACACGGCCTGGCAGGGGGGTCCCCCTCGCAATTGGCTCCTATGGCACCTAGAAACACCAAATTTGGTAGGAAGGTGGGCCCCATGGAGTTCTCGCCCCTGTGCAAATTTGGCTGCTCTAGGTCAATATTAAGGGGGGTTTGGACTTTGGGGGGTATAAATGTAAAAAAAAAATCGCTAAAAACAGGTCAAAAGTTTTTCGCTTATAACGTTTGATCTAATTAAGATAGAGCAAAAAAGAAAAGCACCAGTGAACTCAGCACGTCAAGGCGCGTCGAATGGTATACTTTTTAGCTTGCTTAAGTGTACTTAAAGTTTTTCTTAAATTTTCTTAAATTTCCGGCGCATACCGGTAGGTATGTAGGTATGGATCTTGACCGAAAGGTGCGATGGTCATGGATATCTCAGTGGATCTCTTTTGTTCATTGGGGTTTACGGGCGCGTCGACTGCGGTGGTCATTTCAGTGGATCTCAAAGCAAGCGAAGGAAATGCTGATCTCAATAAGTAACTGCTCAACGTTCCCTGTTGTCAAGTCAATAAGAACAGACAGGGTTTCCTTTCTGTTGGCCCGCAGAAGACGATATTTACGTTTATTCTCATGATTGCTATCATATCTGAGGACCATGAAGCAAAGTAAGAGTATTTTCGTAATTTGGTAGTAATCTCTCCGCTACCATATCTTTTCATATCATGCGCATCTGTGACAAACCTGAATAAAGTGAATAAATAAACAAAAAAGTATTCGGATTTCGGCCTGTGAATTGTAAGGTCAAAAGCTGTTATTGTTATCAATTTATTTTTGTTCAAGTGCCCTCACATGTATCCATCAGAACATTGATTGTTCTGTTTCAAGCTTTGTTGTTTCTTTCATTGGTCTGGTCTTAAAATTCAATAATTCTTATTCACTTTGTCAGCAAGCTGAAACCATTCCAATCCAAGTCAAGCATGTGATATGTGATCCTATTGCAAATATGACAAGATAAGAAAGCTAATCAAGATTTGAATTTGAATTGTTTCAATAAATGTTCATCTACATTGGTATATTTCATTGAATCTTGAGATGTCCTGTAACTATGCAGAAGGCCTGTCTCCATATGAAAATAAAGGCAAGTGTGGATTGCCTGAAAAGTTTGATTCGCTGGAAACAGTTCAGAAGAAGGTGAGTGAATTGGCCACTATGATTCAGAAAGCTGGCCATGTTGTCTTTCACACAGGTGCAGGTGTCAGTACTTCTGCTGGTATTCCTGATTTCCGTGGACCGAAAGGTGTCTGGACTTTGGAGAAGAAAGGATTGAAGCCAGAAATCAATGTGTCATGGGATGATGCAAAGCCCACAACCACTCACCTGGCCTTAGCATCATTGCAAGAGGCAGGGTATGTGCAGTATGTCATCACTCAAAATATTGATGGTCTCCATTTGAAGTCTGGATTGCCAAGGCTTAAAATGTCAGAACTGCATGGAAATATGTTCGTTCACCAGTGCAACTTCTGCAAGAGGCAGTTTGTTCGCAAGTCAGCCGTGACCACAGTTGGGGAGAAGTGCCTCAACCTGCCTTGTCCTGGAACAGGGAAGGCAGGGAGAGGATGCCGGGGAAAGCTGCATGACATCATCTTGGACTGGGAGGGCTCCCTGCCTCAAAAGGACTTGGAACTGGCTGAGATGCACTCAGAAGTTGCTGATCTCAGTGTTTGTTTGGGAACCACATTGCAGATTCTTCCCAGTGGCAACTTACCAACATGGACAAAGAAACATGGTGGAAAGCTGGTGATCTGTAACCTGCAGCCCACAAAGCATGACAAGAAGGGAGACCTGATTATTAACACCTATGTTGATGATGTCATGACTCAACTGTGCAAAAGGCTTGGAGTGGAGATAAAGGAGTATGACGAGGCCCAGGATCCCACAAAATGTACAGGATCAGGTGATCAGATCATTGAGTGGACTATACCCCAGACTAGCTTCAAAGATGCTGTCCTGCTTGAAAAGGTGAAAAAGGTCAAGGTCAAAGTGAAAGACACAAAACTGAGTGCGAAAAGATCTGAGGAAACCAACTCCCCCTCATCAAAGAAACTCAAAACACAGAGCCCAGGGGGAAATGACAATGGTTCCAGTCCATCTAAGTCAGGTACTCACAGTGTCTGTGGCAGCCAGGAGCAGGCAGCTGTCACCATTGGTACTGGCGCATCTGGTGGTGGTGCTGATGGCTGCCAGTCTGACCAGGCACCAGGTGATGGGCTGGTGCCACCTGCACCCTCCAGTGAGGCTGCTGAGGATGCTGAACAGGACCAGGGACACAGTGGGTTGGCTGCTGTGCCTGATGGGAAGCCATCAGATGGTGGTGAGCAGCAGTATAGCTCGTCTGTGGTGAAACTGAACACATCCTGAAACTGACTGATGTGCTGTTGTTAGTTGTCATCTCAGCATGAGTCTCATCTCACATCAAGTAGGAAACAATCATGTATCCATGCTGCCATACAGTTTTCTTCCTTTTTGTTCAGTGAGAAGTTTTGCTCCTGTGTTTCATGTATCATTGCACATTTCATGCTGACCCATTGTAATAGTGTGTAGTCATGCTGATTGAACTCAGAAAACCTTTTGTGAGGTCATTTTATGCATTGAGTTTGTGTATCAAAGCAGGAATCAAGTGGTAACTGATTAAACGTCCTTCAAGTCACGTTCTTGTCCTGTTTTGAGTGCTTGTGGCTACTGCATTTACTGAATTGTTATGTGGACTCAAAGTTGTGTGCTCTTGTAATTAATAAATTGAGTTCATCTCATAATTAGTCGAAAGTTAAAATCAGTATCAGATGTTTGTTCTGTAGGTGGTGTTTCACTGTCTTACACATGACTGCGAGCATTGATAGACCTCTCATAAAACATACGAGTAAAACATCAGCGGTGTAGTTGCCATTTACCAGCACTGGCGACTGAACGCGTTCGAGCCCCTCGTGCAGGGCCGGTGCTTGGTCGCCGTACCCCGCAGGGTCGCTTGGTCTATACAGGGTGATCCAAAAAAATTGGAACCCCTAACTTAAAATGTCTATAAGTCCGAAAGTATTCACTTTATTGATAAATTGCAAACACCATTTGAAAGAACATTAAATCCTCTATAAAATTACGTCAAATTAGTGCATGTATGTTGTAAGGCATCGACACACTATTAGCTTTTGGAATGAGCGTCAAAAAACTGAGTGAAACGAAATCGCCAATTGTTAACAATGCATTGAAGTCCGTTAGCACTCCATCTGTTGTTTTTTTGCGAATAACACCACATCCAATTTCAATTTTATTGCATAAAAGTTTACACAGAAGCACACAATAGAACAGATACACGCGTCCTAGCTTCCGCTGTTCATCCCAGCATGTGCTCAAACCGAGCTCCGTTGGCCGTCACGCAAGCCTGCAGTCGCTTCGGGACGGCTCCGACGGCGCCGGCCAGCAGTCTCTGGGACAACTGATCCCAGCAGGCCGTCAGCCTTTCTTTCAACTCCTTTATGGTACTGACTGCTGATCCTCTGACTTCTATACATAATTCGCTCCAGTTCGCTTCACACGAAGAAGTCAAAAGGGTTGAGGTCAGGACTCTTCGGTGGCCAGGCATCTGGCTCGATGAAGGCCGGGCAGGCCTGTTCCAGAAACTCGACCACTGAGTGGGCCGTGTGGCACGGAGCACCGAATGACTTTTTTGCTCCTGTTGAAATTCAAATTCCTTGCAATAGCACGTGAATGAGCTATTTTTATTCATGAACCTCCAACATGCGACATGGTCAGAACAGCAAATCGCAAACAACTGATTTGCGCATAATGTTCAAAACCGTTTCAGTGAGTTTCGTGACACAAATTTTATAGGCTATAACTAGGGCAATATGTATAGTAATAGTTAAGTTCAATCAACTTGGTTTTATGGAGAATTGAACGTACTTTCTAATGGTGTTTGTAATTTGTCAATAATGTGAAGACTCTCGGACTTACGGACATTTTAAGTTAGGGGTTCCAATTTTTTTGGATCACCCTGTACATTCTCGGGCCGCTGACGTCCGTGCCTGACCGAGCGCGTGATGACGGCGGGCGCTCGGTCATCGGTGTGACGACAATCTGGCGTCGGTCAGAGCCGATCACGGACACGTATGGCCGCATCTGACGGACGGACGTAAGGACGGAGCGCGGGTCCGGTGCCACTGATACTGGCGTGTTACACGGCCGTCTCAGGCGAAAGGAGGCGGTGGCTCGCTGAGATATGGGCTCCAGATGTGTGGGGGCCGGTACTCGGCGGAGAACGGCCTCCCCAGCTGCCCGGCCCGCACTTCAGACGGCCACTGCCACTTTTGTCATCTGGCCGAAACTCGTCGCAGAAATGTCGCGAAAATGAGGATGTCGAGCGGCCGACAGCCGGGTCGTAACCGGGCGCGGGACGTGGTTTGGCCGACCTCTAGGCAGCAGTGATAGGGACGTAATCGGCCAATGTGTGGGCAATATGCGCCGGCCAACTGGATGCAGTAACTCGTGCTTATCTCACTGAGCCGTCCCGTGGCTCGGTCCAGAACTGGACAACCGTGCGTCACCGGCTGGCCAGAACTGGCGAATACGGCGCCGCCTCTGACAGCTTCGCAACATGTTAGGTACGAAGGCACCAAACTACTTCGTAAATGTTCAAATGGCTGCTAAATTCGAATTCAGCTACAAAAACTGGCTTAGAAACATGTAAAACTCGAAAAAGTGAACCGAGGTCACCAGTGGTCAGTGACCTGACCTGACATTCTGGTGACTTTGACATGCACCCTAATGCATGGGAGCAACATCAAATCACATGTTTGAACGTTTGAAACCACGAAAAGCTTGCAAACGCACGAATAATGCGAGCCGACATACGCCGAATCGCGATTCTGGCCAAACGTGGTCTCGAAAAGTAGGTCACAGGTCAAAGGTCATTTTGGTCAGGGTCATGAACTTTTCAAGGTAGGTGTAAAATGGAGCAATGCGAGGGTAATGAAAGTTTCGTCGCGATCTGCCGCTTTTTACGCAAGTTATTCGCGAAAACCTTAGGGGGGTTGCATCAACCCCCCCCCGTGCCGGCGAGGGTTAACCCTCGCCCATGTAGGGGGGGTGCACCCCCCCCCATGAAGTTTTTCTTGGCTACACGCCGAACCTTTTCAGATAGCCTGCTCAAGTTTTCAGCACCCTTTGGGGCATCCTTTGCGCAACTTTTGGTAAAAAAAATTGTCCAGGTCATGTCAGGTCACGGAGTTATGACGTCATAAAGGGAACAACCTCCGGCCAGATTTACGCTAAATTGGAGATTGCTTCACATTGGTATAAATGCCGACTGACCTGACACCACTGATGGATTGTTTTAGAATCACAACTGGCTGATTTGACATTGGCACAATGTCCGTTAACATTTTGAAGGTTACTAAAGGTCAAGGTAAGGTCAGTGACCTCGGTTGACCTGTAACGACTTCTTGCACTTGTATGCCTTTTCGGGGTATTTTGATGCCCTGAATTCAAATTTGCTATCCATTTCAGGCATCGTCGGTTGTTTCTTGTAGTTCATTTTGGGTCAGGGTCAGGTCAGTGACGTCACACGCCTGACGTGACCCAATGCACAAATGACCTTGCAGACTTCTGATGCTCCCAACGCATCATTTTTAGAGTTATGACATCGAAATATACACCAAACGATAGAGAATTGATCAAGGATCACGATAGTGAAGGTCTCAAGTCGATATCTCTTACCGTTTTGCCGCAATCGGCGCGGAAATCTGAAAAAGTTTGTTTTTTCCTAAAATTTGACCTTTGACCGGTCATAAGTAGGTCAAATGTTGACCTAGGACCAAAAAATATACCACCAACCGCGAGATCTCGTTGAGAGCAATCCGTTGGTCTTTTCCGCTAAGCCCTACGACGCTCCGTTTACAAACGCCAAGGGGGGGGGGTCGCACCAACCCCCCCCCCCCCCCTGCATGGGCGAAGGTGGCAAAACACCGTTTACGGGCGAGGGTTAAAAACATCTCTTGAGAGTGATTGCCATAGTTCAATGTTTTGCATCAAAATCGGCCGAAGACGTCATTCTGACGTAATTTCCGGTCGATTTACGGCCGTAGCTACGAAATTTTTGTTTTGACACAAGGTGTCAAATTGAGGCAGCCGCCGAAGGCAGGCGGTGGGCCTCCCGGCCACCTTCCGCGCGGTGGGGTGGGGGGGGGGGCATTTTTTGTCCCCCCCCGTATCTCCGAAACTATCGGACGGATCCGTAAAATTCAAACGGCGTTCGATAGCCCTGTCAAATTTGTTGAGGAAAACCAAATTTCATTGACCGCGGGGTCACCGATGACGTCACAGACCAGGTCAAAGATACCTAAGATGCTTCACCGTTCACGGGTCCTCTAGGGAATGCGCTATAACACCGAGTAAAACGTATTTTGTCGAAAATCAGCGATAGGGCGTCAGTTGCATAGTATATAATTATATGTTGCTATTAGAGGTCACTGATAATATCGGGTCAGGTCACAGGTCAGGTCACCTAGGGTCAGCATATGAACCCAACTTTACTAAAGCTGTGCGATGCATGTTTTATGGCCAATTTTTCATTTCCAGCTCAATGGTGTTGGTTATAAGACCATCAGGTGAGGTTGAGGTCACTTTCTGGTGAAGGTCAGGTCAAAAAAGGTCAAATTTAAAAGTTGATAGTTTTGCATAAAATGGGTATGGATTCGATGCAGCTCGTCACGGGGAGTCTAATGGTGGTCTTTGCTTTGCGCTACGAGGTCTAGAACTGCTAAAAATTGAGTTTGAAAATTTGACGTCATTTATTTTGAACAGTTTTTTTTTTCGCTATAACTTGGCCAAAAAAGCGGTATCGATCTCAAATTTGGTACGTACTCAGATAGAAGGCGGTAAGGACTTTCACATATATTCCGTTTTTTCGAAATTCAAAAAACTTTTTTTTAATTTTTCGGCTATTATTTTCAAAAAACCTTTTTTGATTTTGGGGGTCAAAATCCAAAAAGTTCAAAAATCCGAGATAGCAGTTTTGTAGACATTTTAACCCGCGCCGGGCCGGGGGGGGGGGGTGTTTGAACACCCCCGCCCCTGCGGTTTTTCGCAGATATCTCAAAAACGGCGGCGCACCTGTTCGTGCATCTTTTCCGCACATGTGAAAATGTCAGACCCAGGTCGCCTTAGGTCAGGTCACCAGGTCACGCCAAGTGACCTCACCTCAGAAAAAATAAGAATGCTCGTCATAGTTACACCGATTGATCAATTGCCTTGAAAACTTTCAGCGATTGATAAGAGCAACATTATCTATAAAATTTAGGTAGGTAAGTACATCTCGGAATTTTGATATCGGTTGTGGAGAAGGAAATCATGCCTCCCACTCCCGATGGAGGCCCCAAATGTCGGACCCCCTTTTTTGTATCTGTCTGGGTGTCTGGGGCGCATAGCGACACGGGACCGCCGGCTCGCTGGCCGGCTGCCCGTCCGGTCACGTGCTTGCGTCCCGACACCCACCATAAAACCATGTTCTTCGGAAATACACTCTCTCACTTCTCCTCTACCGACTGTGACGCCAACACCATCCGCGGACCCCGGCTCCGACGAGGGCGGCCGAAATGGCCGGCCCACAATTGGTGGCAGCGGTGCCTGGTTCCACGAATCGACAACGAATCAACAACGCGGCGACGATGACGACGACGACGACAAGAACGAGACCAAAAACTCGGACAGCAGCAGCAGCAGCGACAACAGCAGTCGCACCAGTAGCAGCAGCAGCCGTACCT